CCAGCGCCGGCCGCCATAGTGACTCTGACTGAGATCTACCCGGTGCCCCGCCGCGGGAGCGCGCACCCTTCAAAGGCCCTCCTAGCCCTGCTCGCGCTCCGTAGTCGGGAGACGTCACGTGAGCGACGCCGCGGCGGCCATGTTGGTTCAGGGCAGAGAAGCGGGCAAGTGATTTGTACCGCCTCTTTGGGTGCCATCCTTGGGAAGGGTTGCCAGCTTCAAACCAGGGGATCACCTGGACGACCATTTTGGTTAAGGGCAAGGAAGGCTCAGCGAGCTGAAGAATGTTTCAGCGAAACCTGCCGGCATTCTATTGTACCCATGGATCAGAAGGGACCGACTTTTCTCCACCGTATTTACTATGGTGCTCGTTGAAAACTCCAACGATGAAAAAGAACAGACCCATCCAATCGAGATGTTCATTAACAGCCATCTTATCTGTGGGTAAAATGATGCCCTCATCCACCCACTCCTGGCCCTCTCATGGATGAGTAGCTCAACTCCTACAAGTCTCAGAACTTGTGCATCAGAGGAATAAAAAAGTATTTCCAGTGAATGGACCGTTGATCTGGTTTTAGTTGGTAAAAGGCCCCAATTTCATTTTACAGAGTCCATCTATAACAGGACAAAAATAATTAATCCAGAGGAGGGAGACCACCAGCATGAGGCCAATCTTCTGTCCAAGGATTCAGAGCCAAAGAAGGTTGTCACAAAATCATGATTAGCAACAGATCCATTCACCATAGGTGCACAAGGAACTCGACACAGGACAGGGATCAAAGTTTGGGCATGCGCAGTAAGAGCCAGCTACACTCCACCGCGCACACAGGCATCCACTAAGAATCCACCGGCGCTCACAACCATGCCCTCCCAGTGGATGGGCACAGAGACCAGCCAGGGCAGGAAGGCATCAAAGTGAAGGCCAGGTGTTAGCTCTCTCTTCTTAGGTTCCACCTCCACCTCTTCCCTTGTCTCTACCCTTCTTGGAGATGGCACGTTCTCTCCCTCTTTCCGTTCTGCCACTGCTCCTTTCCTAATCTCTCCACGTCTCTCCGTGTGGCCCTTTACACGGCCCTCCACATTTCCCCAAGATCACCCATTATTTTTTTTCCATTTTTTTAATAAATCATTTTATTGGGGCTCTTACAACTCTTATAACAATCCTGCATCAATTGAGATTATCCATTCTTGCCTGTGAGGATGTAAAAGCTTTATTTTCACTCATAAAGGTTTACGATGACTTACAATTGTGCTTCTGCCATGTGTGAATTCTTTCTACATAAAGAAGCCAGAACCAAGGAAAACCATCCCCAAATGCTAATGTTTGTGCTACCATGACTCGGATATCCCTCCTGACTTCCTAAGTCAAACCTCTGAGGTAAACTTCCCAGGCTCAGGAGAACACTTGCTTGTCCCTGGAGTCGGGTGTGAATCGCTTGGCTTCACCTTCTGGACACATTCCTGCCTTTCCGCTCTCATGTTTCACCACTTTTACGTAGAAGTGGAGTCTGTGGCACACTAGGCTGCGCTTGTAACTGCAAGGCTGCACTTGGAAAGCCCCAGTCTCTTTGTGGGAGGGAGATGGGGCTCTCTGCTCCCATCAACAATTGCAGTCTCAGAGGCAAGTCAACCTTGTCCTGTGGCATTGCTAGGAGGGAGCGTCTCCTCAGTGGCCCTGAGTTTTGTGGCCTACTGTTTCTGGAGGCCCATGTCAAGGTCGGCACCCTTGAGCCCTGTATTTGGCCACCCACCCCACATACCAGCCTTTCTACTCCCCCATGTTTTGCTCTGTGCCCTTCTTCTGGAGTCTGTCTCTCATGTCACCTGTGCAGAACCATGGCCCTGCACTTCTGTTCCTGAGTCCCTCTTCCACCTTCTTTTCCTTTTCTGAGACATTTCACTCCCTATTTGGGCTGTCTTCTTTTCAATCTATGTAACTGCTACTGCCCCATGCTGTTTAATCACTATCTATTAGTCTCTATGTTCGAGTGAACTCACTCCATCTTGCTTTTTTTCAATCCCTTGGCTTTTCTAAAATTCTGCAGGAAAGCTAGGCACATGGTCCTCTACTGCCTCATTACCAAAATGGATGCCCTTTCCCCATCAGAAGTTACCCACTGGCCCAGCCATGTGTTACTGGGAGCTAAATTTGGGGTTATCTAACCCCTTTCCTGAGCGTTCAGACATTCTTTCTCCAATGTATAGACTAACCAAGGGGCAAGGGCCCTTGTTTTCTTCAGTTCAGCTCTGCTTTGTTTGGGGTTTGGGTTTTTGTTTTCTTGTTTGTTTTTCCTTTTTCCAAGCCACACCCCAAAAGCATTGAACATTCGCCGGCCCTGTCATCCCAAAGACCGCTCGAGAGGCTTCTTCAGCCCTGCCTGTGTCTCCCTCCTCCCTGCACGCTGAATGGCCCCCTACACTGGGCTATTTACATCCTTGGTTCCAATTTCATTGAGTTAACAATTATATAACCATGGGTCCCAATTTCCCAATAGGAGACCACATTCAGATTTGGCCAGAAGACAGGTCCTGTGGCTCTGAGTAGGCAACTGTTCCACGCCACACAAATTGGTATGATGCCACCCATCAGTCAGTGGTTCCCGAAAATCAACCATGAGCCCATGGTCCTCTAATGCCTTTTTTGCTTTCTAGAAGACAGTTTGGGTTTGGCCATAGATCTAAAGTTGAGTCCCGACTGCCAAGGACAGAGACGTCAGTCTGAGGCCCTCAGGTTCCAAGGTGTGGCAAAGAAAGCAGATGGTCCCAGCTATCCATCAGAACAGTGTCTGGGGTCCTAAAGGCTTGTATTCAAACAAGCAGCCATTTAAGTGAGACGTGAACCAGGTCCACACGGAAGAAGTACACCAGCCTATGTAATCCAAAGATGATGATAGCAAAAATCCAAACACAATGACCGAAAAGTATCAGCCTAAATTGTGAACACCCAATTTATAGAAGGCTATGGAGGACAGTGGGAGCCCAAAATCCATCTGCAGAATACCTAGTCAGATTAACCTCTAGCATATTCCCTCTGGTCCCAGTTGAGGGATGTGCACAGCTTTACTATCCGACAGAGATTATTGTAAACTTGATTATGATGGATGGGACTAAGGTATAATCTGATACCTGGTCAGGTGACATTCCTCTTGACCCAACCTGAATTTGCTCTAGGTTTAAATATTTCTTACTTGTTCAGAAATGACAGAAATTTCCTCTCTAGCTTTTTGATATTTATAGTATTATTTTTCTTTCTGTTTTGTTTTTTTATTGTTTCTGTTAGGTTTCCCAGTTTAGAAAGCCCAGGATGAGTAGTAGTTCCATGGAGATAATAACTGATGAACTGGTTTATCAGGGGTGGGAGGTGGAAAGGGTCAGGTGATTGGGGAGCAAATAATGAATGCAGGAGGAGAGGAGAGAGCCCAGAATTAATTGTGATGATGTATATACAACTCTTTCTTAAAGCGACTTAACTATGAAAGTGTTTATGATATGTGAATTTTACATCAATAAACTTTTATTTTTAAAGTGACCTTGCCAGCTACTCAGAAAATCCAGAGCAATACATAGATGCCTTCCAGCACCTCACCCTACCCTGATCTGGCCTGGAAAGGTGTCATCATAATTCCAGGACAAACTATGATGGATTTTGAAAAAGTGTGAGTACTAAAGGAGGCCAGGAAATCCACAGGGGGCTTACATGTGATGAATGAAAACTAGCCAGAGCGAGAAACAGCTGTGCTGCCAACTGAAAGGACCTGGGATTATAATGATTCCACTAAAAGATGGGCATGGGAGCACTTTCTAGTGTGTATCA